GCCGCGGAAGGAGACACTCTTTTGAACACATAATGTTTTGGGAAGAGAAACGTTTTATTTCGCTGGCTCTAAAAACCTGTCGGACTACTTTCGGCTTGACCAAAACTGGACGATAACTCTGCTCACAGGATGCTGCCAGGGGTAAGTCGGTGTGATTGCATGCCGCTGGTGATGGGGATGCCATACAGATTCATGTCAAAAATACCGAACTATCCCTTTAAAGGTGCATTGTAGGAAATTTTGAGCCCACTACTTTGTCATCCACTAGACAACCGGAAACTCATCTAAAATGGCGTAATCACTACATAGCGCTCTATATAGGTGTAAGGGCGGACATTCGGACGATTCTAAAAACAGATATGATGCCATCTGATGATGTCACACCGCCCACAGGCTGACATTAGTATTACAGCATCATTACATGACCTGCAGAGTGCGGCAGTTTGCGGCACTGTTTACTTGCAGCAAAAGGGTTTCGGGTTGGATTTCTGCATGGAGTTTGGATTTTCTGATCGAGCATTCATGGTTACACTGGGTTCCCACAGTCCAAAAACATGAGGGTTAATTGGCATCTCTAAATTGCCCTCAGGTGTGAGTCTGTGTGTCTCTGTGTTGCCCTGCGACAGAATGGCGCCCTCTACAGGGTGGGCCCTGCCTCTTGCCCATAGGCTGCTGGAGATCATACAGCTCATCCATCAGCCTGAAGTGACCCAAATCCGATTTTTTTTGCACATATGCGACCTGTATCTGATATTTTAATGGCAGTCTGAACAACTCAGATCAGATTCTTTCCAATGCGACCCAGGCCGATTGGCTCTGTGGTCCTGAATGCAAAACAGATCGGATCTTTTCAAATGTAACCCGTGTCTGAACAGCCATTCGACCTCTACACCATTAACACAAAACAAGGGTCACTAGTCTGCGTCCTGCTACTCGGAAGCAGCAAGAAAAACTGCAACCAATGCGGACGATGATGCAGAGTAGTATTTATATTGAAAAGATTGTTTTTAAGGTAGGGAAAGATTGCAAGTGGCTTCGGCACCGCCATCCATGTTTACTTCCGTAAAAACAGCTCACGGTGTCTTGTGACGTCATATCTTCTACTGCGCATGCAGGACACTTAGGTGGTATAATTGTGTCGCATATATTTGTAAAAAAATTGGATATTACAAAAAAAATTTAATTGGGCCTGAAATGTGAACGTAGCCCCTGGCTGAATAAGCGGGAGAAGATGGATGGATGGATGCAGATGTGGTGAATCGTTTTATTGAAAGTGCTCTCCTGGCGTTAATTACCATCAATTGGGTAGCACTGTGGCTAGCTGTACTCAGTAGTTAAAATGTTAGCCTCTTTTAGCCCGGCCATTTAGTAGCTAACAGGTTAGCCTACTTTAGCTCGGTCAGTTAGGTATATTGGGCTACACTACTTTTAAAATCGTTTCAACAAAAACAATTCATTTTCTACAAGTAGAATAACTGTTTAATTGTCTAAAATCTCTGAAAGTCATTTTTTAGGATGTCCCATTTGTCCTCAGATATTTTTATGGCCACCTTGGTAAATAGTGGAGCTCAGTCTGAGAACGCAGCACTTTCCTTCAAGACTGACGATTGTTTTCTAATTTCGGCTACTTTACATCGCTGATGAAATGTAAAATAATAGCAAATATAGGTAATAATATGTTAAAACTCCAAAAGAGATTTGATCTTAAGAAATGGGCAATAGTTTGTCCAAGTGGAGTTGCCATATGTTGATGTCATAAGAAAGGGTTGGGCCTCGAGCAGATCTGGTGCTTAAATCGGGCCCTCCTTTAAATGGTTCCTAACTTTGACAGAACTTGGACTCTTTAGGACCTGGATCTGCCAGAGGAGAGAAGAACCTGGACAAACAAAGATCCAAACTAACAGGATTCAGATGACATCAGGTCAGAGGTCTGAGTCGGACCTTAGAGCAGACTCTAAAGGCGGTCTCTGACCTCTGATGGTCTATTTGTGGCGGCTGCCCCTCCTCTTCATGGCGGCCGTGCACTGAGGACAGAACCACTTCCCTTTGGGAGCCTCGGTCAGGCCCACGCAGCCGTAGTGGAACCACTCAATGGGACACTGAGGACAGAGAAAATGATCCGGATCAGAACCACACAGCTGGGAGGTTAAGAACCATTCCACCTAAACTGGATCACTCACATCTGTGTTGTCACAGCCGACCATCTCTCCATAGGAAACCTGCAAGAGACCGGCCCAGTTAAACCAGAACCATGAACCAGAACCTCCAGCCTGTGTCCCGCCCACTAACCTGGTTGCAGATGCAGTAACGGGGCTCGTTGGGGTCGTAGGTCCAGTCCACCTGGCTGTTTGCCTCAGCTTCAGGCAGAACCGCCGCTTGCTGGGAAAGTTCCTGAGCCAGCGCCGAGGAGGAGGAGCAGGAAGACAGGGACGATGAGGAGGACGAAGAGGACGACTGGTGGTTGGAAGACTTGATGCTGCTCCTGGAACCGGAGGAAACGGACCTGAGTACACCAATCTGAGTGTGTGTCTGTGTGTGGAGGAACCGGCCTTACTTGGACTTTCGGCCCCTGGAGTCCGAGGCAGCGGTGGGGGTGAGGGTCTGGGTGAGGGTGGAGGCCAGCGCCGAGGAGGAGTACCCCGAGTTTTCCCGGGTCACGGAGAACTCCCGGACCTGGAAGTCGTTGTTTTTGATGGCTTCATAGCTCGCTTTGAGGCTGGAAGTCCGTCTGCCCTCCTTCATCTGACAATCAGAACCAACAATCAGAGGCAGGTTCTAACCGGCTGCATGATACCAGGAACGAGTGCAAAAGACTGAAATCCAAAAAAACTAGAAAACCAACTAGAACTGAATCCATTGGGCGGTTCTTGTTTAACTAAACCATGAATAACCTGAAGGCAGGTTACCAGAACCAGCTGGAGCTAAACATGAACCGCGGGAGCGGATCTGGATGGAGAATAACCACAACAAACTAGTTTTATTTATTTTAAAGGCATTTTTGTTTTTTTACCAAACAGTTTTAGTTAATTTTATCTGAGGGGAGTCTGACTCTATACTCTGAACCATCATTAAACTACTAGTTAACTGCAACTAAACCAGTTAACCCACATTACACTATTAGTAAACCACCACTAAACTACTAGTTAACCACAACTGAATGAGTTAACCAACATTAAACTATTAGTAAACCATCCCTAAACTACTAGTTGACTGCAACTGGATGAGTTAACCAAGATTAAACTATTAGTAAACCATCAATTAACTAATAACCGCAACTGAATGAGTTATCCAACATTAAACTATTAGTAAACCATCACTAAACTACTAGTTAACCACAAGTGAATGAATTGACCAACATTAAACTATTAGTAAACCATCACTAANAACATTAAACTATTAGTAAACCATCACTAAACTACTAGTTAACCACAAGTGAATGAATTGACCAACATTAAACTATTAGTAAACCATCACTAAACCATGTATTAACTGCAACTAAACGAGTTAACCAACATTAAACCATTAGTAAACCATCAATAAACTACTAGTTAGCCACAACTGAATGAGTTAACCAACATTAAACTATTAGTAAATCATCAATACACTACTAGTTAACAACTGAATTAGTTAACCAACATTAAACTATTAGTAAACCATCACAAAACTAATAGTTAATTGCAACTAAACTAGTAAACCATATCTTAACTATTAGAAAACCATCACTAATCTACTAGTTAACTACAGAAAAATATTAATTTCAGCTGCTCTTTTTCATCATCAGGTTTAACTTAAATGATATTTATTCCTATTAGCTAATAAGTATGTATTTAGTTAGTAAAAGTTAAACATAACAGCTGATTTCTGGACTTTTACAGATTTAACTATTCTTTTCAGGTTTTATCTGGACTCACTGCTGCTGGGTCACTCCTACAAACACACATTGGATCATGTTTTCTGGCTTCCATTGATCAGGGCTTCTTTTTATTCTTGACTAGACTTGAATTAACTGAATGAATAACAGAAAATCCTGAATTTATCAGGCGACTCAGAACAGGTTTATTCTACTTTCTGAATCTGGGTCAATATCAGATCTTTTCTGTTTGGGTTTAATGAAAACAAAAGTCTGGGTTCTGTTCTATGTTTGGAACCACGGCAGTTTTTCTTCCACTGGGTTCTATTGCTGATGTTCCCGTCCTGCGGGCAGAACCTTACTGCTGTTAAATGACACCGTTTGGGTCTGATAGACCCGATGGAGACATCAGACTGACTCTGCCTGCAGCTTCCTGAAAATAGTCCACAGATCCAGAACCACATGGTTCCAGCCTCTGGCCCAATTCGAGGCCCTTCTACACCGGCTCTACCAGCCGAGGCTCCGCCCCCTCCGTCTCTAACCTGAGCCGTGGCCTGGACGGCCTGAGCTGCAGCCATGGTGATGGCCCCGGCTCCGGCACCGGGCCCGGCGGGCAGAGAGCTCAGGTTGTAGGAGGCCAGAGGCTGAGAGGAGTTCACGCTGAACGCGCTGTTGGTGGATGAAGACGTGCTGTTGGCACGGCAACCTGCAGGGGACACAGTGACCATTTTAACTGGAGAGGATGGAACAGCCAGAAGAGAGAGAGAAGGGGTCCAGATGAGTCGCTACCTGGGGTGTTCTCCTTGGAGGCGTCTGATGTGAGCGTGGACAGCAGAGCTTCAGACTTGAACTTCTTCTCTGGAACGTGTTCTGTGGTGTGGTGGGTCGGGGCGCTGTACTTCCTCTCTGGGAGGAAACAGAACAGACACCAGCGTCAGAAGCTGCTATACGGACGCTGAAGGTCCAACAGCGGGACTCACTCTCAGAGCTGCTGTGGGAGTGGACGTGGTGGTTGTTGACGGGCTGAGACGGGCTGTCCATCTCCAGAGAACCTGAGGAGAACACAGTGGGAACGTCAGAGGGGAACGTCATACCGGACCATGAGGACCCCTCTCACCAACAAACTCACGTCTCTCCAGGATCTCTGTGATGCCGGCGTTATCCGCTTCCAGCTCCATCTTAAACTTGGCCAGCTCCTGGTCCAGTTTCCGTAGGTGCCGGTCCACCTGAGGATGAAAAACCCAGCTGTCTCAACTCAGCCTGCTTCCTTCTGCAGCTTCTGCTCCCGTTGATCTGACTGCCACCTAGGGGTGAGCAGGCTGAACCTCTACATGGAGGAACGCCACAGACCTACTCACCAGGTCGTAAATCTGATTGGCCAGCTGGACCTTCTCATCAGCATCTTCCAAAGCTTTGTAGTAATCCTGAAACGGATTCATCCTGTCACTAACATTTCATCACAGAGAAGAATTTACGGGATGTTTCTCAGCAGGTCAGCTGTTCCCACCTTTTTGATGATCTCCATCTGCTCCTCTCTCCACTCGGGTTTGTTCTTCTTTGCGTTGATGAAGAACTCCGTCACCTTCTGCTCCAGCTGATCTGTGGCGTCTAGAAAGAACAGGAGGAACCAGATGTTAGAACAGAGACGTTCTACTCAGCCCTTAGGGATCCGTTTTCAGACAGCCTTCCCTCCAAGTGTCTGACAATTAAAATCTGACGACGGTTGAGTTTAGACCCATTAAACCAAACATGCTTTCCCAACATTTCTCCACCTCTAAAGTCCAGCTTAACTATTTAGCCACACAGTCCCATTATCAGCTCCATACAGAAGATCAACTGGAGCAAAATGAAGCCATGAAGAAGACTCGGCAAATATCTGGAAGATGACCAAAGCTCTCCATCATTTCTCAGTGGATGAGAGCTTTGGAGAAAAGCGACTACCGAAGACCATCTCTGACTCTGTGTGTTGGAGAAGCAGCTCATCTACAGCTGGGGTTGTTCATTAGGAGGGGCGGCGGATTCCCATGATGTTCTTAGGACACAGAGCAGGAAATGGGAGACAGATGGACATGTGGGCTGCTGCAGAGCCCCTTCAGTGACACACTGCTGCATCCTTCATGTATAAAAGAGGACTATGGTAGATCACCAGTGGCGGCTGGCCAATAGAGGGCGATAGAGGGCGTTTTGGATAATTTAAATGTAAATTAATGTCAAATATTTTGAAAATAATTAATATATATATTCAAATGTGCCAGATAACTATTTAATCTTTAATGTGGAGTAAAGCATCACTTAATTTTTTGTTAGATTCTGCTTCGCCTGTCTCCTTTTTCAAACGTTAGGATCTGACCCAGCATGGATAAAGACAGGAAGGCCTGATTTAAAGCTTTTCCGAATTCTTCCAAGTGGTTTACGACTTTACACGAGTGAATAAAGTGAATGTGATTGGTCCTTTATCAAGGGGGCGGGATTGTTGGGACGGAAGGTTCGCAAGCAAGTTTGGTTGTGGCCGGTTTGTTGGAAGCATCTTGCTAACCAGTTAGCAACTTAGTGCTACTTGGTCCCAATGGGAAATTCCATTGGGACCAAGTAGCACTAAG